GGTTGGGGCACAACCGGGCAGGGCTCCAAAGCCAAGGGTTTGACCTGGGATGCTCAGGACCATGGACCATGCTCAAGGGAGCAGAAAAACGCTCTCTATGTCAGATGCTGTAGGGAGGAAAAGCAGGACAAAATCTGGAGTTTAGGGTTGGGGAGGTGCCTTTTTTAAAAAAAAAGTTTTTATTGATTTTTTTTTTTGAGAGAGAGGGAGAGAGAAAGAGAGAGAGGAAGGGAGAGGGAGAGAGAGACAGAAACAACAATGATGAGAATCATTGATCAGCTGCCTTCTGCAAGTTCCACACTGGGGATCGAGCCTGCAGCTCAGGCATGTGCCCTGACAGGGAATGGAACCATGACCTCCTGGTTCCTAGGTCAACGCTCAACCGCTAAACCACACCTGCCAGGCAGGGAGGTGCCCTTTTTACACTTGGGGCATAGAAGCTCAGGGGGGTGCATTCACAGGGCAAGGGGAGGGCCTGGCTGAGCTGCCCCCTAGTGAGGGCCAGTCCCCTCCGTGGCCATCTATTCATGAAGTCTTTATGAGGCTGGGCCTACTTTGTAGTAACTGGGAGCTAGGAGAGGGTAGGACTCTGCCCCAGGCTTGCACTTGCCCTGCTGAAGCCGGCCTGGCCCTGCCTGATCTCTGGATCTTGTCCTGTTCCCCTGCTTTCTGCAGGGATCCGAAACGCAGTGGACAACTGTCCAAGGGTGCCCAACTCAGACCAGAAGGACGGTGATGGTGATGGTGTGGGGGATGTCTGTGATAACTGTCCCCAGAAGAGCAACCCAGACCAGGTGAGGGCAGGTCAGACCCCAGTGGGGTCAGACCCCTGGCTTGAGCTCCAGGCTGTTAACAAGACCGCAGCCCATTCCAAAGCAGCTGGAGGGGGTGTTCCTTGGGGTCAGGAGGACCTTTGCTCTTGAACTGGGCCTGGGTTGGAGGCTTCTGAGTTCCTCTGCTCTGATTGTGGACCCCTGCACCCCCTCCCCCAGAGGGATGTGGATCACGACTTTGTGGGAGACGCTTGTGACAGCGACCAAGACCAGTAAGGAGGCCTTCTAGGATGGGGGCTCAGGGTGGGCAGCCCCTGACCGGGCCCTGTGAGGATCTCATTGTTTCTCTGCCTCCCCCCACCCATTCTAGGGACGGGGATGGGCTCCAGGACTCCCGGGACAACTGCCCCACAGTGCCCAACAGCGCCCAGCAGGACTCAGACCGCGATGGACAGGGTGATGCCTGCGATGAGGATGACGACAACGACAGAGTCCCTGACAATCGGGACAACTGCCGCCTGGTGCCCAACCCCGGCCAGGAAGACTCAGATCGTAAGGCAGGGGGTGGGCCCCATGGTGGGACAGGGTGTGTGGAGCCACTGGGGCAGGTTTTCAAATGGGCGTGGTGGGGCCAATGGAAGGTATGGGCGTGGCCAGTAGCGGGAGTGGGCGGGGCTAGGCATGGAGTGGGGGGCCTGGCGCAGACCTCTCCACCTCAGGGTCTCCCACCTCCTCTCAGGGGATGGCGTAGGTGATGCGTGCCAGGGCGACTTCGACGCTGACAAGGTGGTGGACAAGATCGATGTTTGTCCAGAGAACGCCGAGGTCACCCTCACCGATTTTCGGGCCTTCCAGACGGTGGTGCTGGACCCCGAGGGTGACGCGCAAATAGACCCCAACTGGGTGGTGCTCAACCAGGTGGGAGCAGGGACCAGGCGGAAGGTGGGAGGAACTCAGAGCCCCCGCTGAGGGTGCTAACCTAGGGGCTGGAAAACTGAGGGCCCCCTGGCCAGGCTGAGGCCCCTCTTCCTTTGTCCTTATTAGGGGATGGAGATTGTGCAGACGATGAACAGCGACCCTGGCCTGGCTGTGGGTGAGACACTGGGAGGGGAAAGGCTCTGCAGGGAGATGCTCAGGGGCAGGGCCGGAGTGAGGGTGGGGCGAGGGCAGGTTGGGTCTGGGCTAGAGGCGGGTGGCTGAGGCTGGTCCAGGGCTCGGGGGCACGGCCGTGTCTGGATTCAGAGGGTAGGGATGGGGTGGGTGTACTGAGCGGGGAGTCCGGGCCCAGGGGCCAAGCTGGACTCTGGAGGGGTTGGTTCTGGGGAGTCCAGGATCCCATTGGTCACCTACTTCCCCAGGTTACACTGCTTTCAATGGCGTGGACTTCGAAGGCACATTTCATGTGAACACGGTCACGGACGATGACTACGCTGGCTTCATCTTTGGCTACCAGGACAGCTCGAGCTTCTACGTGGTCATGTGGAAGCAGATGGAGCAGACATACTGGCAGGCCAACCCCTTCCGTGCTGTGGCTGAACCTGGAATCCAGCTCAAGGTGTGCAGGGGGAGGGGGCCTCCTGACCTCTTGTTCCATGTCCTCTAGCAAGCCCCTAAACCCTTCCACAGAACCCCAAAGCTTTCACAGTCCCCCAGCATCATTCTATGGACTCAAAGTCTTCCTACCCACTTTCATCTCTCCTCTGGATTCACATAGGCCCCAAATACCTCCCATTTCCTCACAGGCCTTCAAACCCTCACCCAGCACCCCCAATCATCTTTTGGGCCCTGAAACCCTCTCACAGAGCCCAGAGCTTTCCCTCAGGTTCCAAATCCTCCTGCAGACCCCCTAGACTATGTTGCAGATATTTCCCAAATCCTCTAGACCCCCGTTTATCCCATAGACACCCAAAACTCTCTACAGGTCACTAAATCCCTCTCCAGACCCCCAAGTCTTCCCAGACCCCAAACCTTTTCACCGACTTCCATACCCTCTCATGAGTCCCCAGACCTCTGTTACCCCCCATGACCCACCTGCAAATGTCCATGTGGTGCTCAAGGAGGCTTCCTGTGGGTCTCCCATCCAGACCCCCCCCCCCCAAGACTCCGATCATTCCTCCATGACCTGAAGCAACCACCAGGCAGGGTTCTGAGAGGCTCCAGTGGCCTCTGTGGTCTCTGACCCTCTGCTCCTGTTCCTGGGCATGTCAGGCCGTAAAGTCCTCCACGGGCCCTGGGGAGCAGCTGCGGAATGCGCTGTGGCACACAGGGGACACAGCATCACAGGTGCGGCTGCTGTGGAAGGACCCCCGCAACGTGGGCTGGAAGGACAAGACGTCCTACCGCTGGTTCCTGCAGCACCGGCCCCAAGTGGGCTACATCAGGTGGGGACCCCACCCCTGCCAAGGGACTGAGTCCCTGCTCCACCCTGGCTCCTGGAAGGAGAGACCCTGGGGGCCTTGGTCCCCTTGTCTGTAAAACAGGTACAATGCAGGCAGCTAGAATGAACTGTGACTGGCCCTGGGGCATGACACCCCTCCTAGGACCCAGCACACAGTGGGGCCTCAGCTAGAAGGTGGGGTCTCACCCACACCCCATTTCTCAATCCCTACTCTGTACAGGAAATCCAGTTAGCACCTACTGTGTACAGGATCCTGGATATCCATTCTCACACAGGGAAACTGAGCTTCCGGTCAGGAACCCCACCTGCTCTGAGTATGGGTCCGGCAGGAGGGACTCATGGCCCCTACTCCGAGATAGGAGGGGCCCATCTTCCAGGGCAGGACGCCAAAACTCTGAGGTGCTTCACTGTCCCCTGCCCCCCTCTCCCCCAGAGTGCGGTTCTACGAGGGCCCTGAGCTGGTGGCTGACAGCAATGTGGTCTTGGATACAACTATGCGGGGTGGCCGTCTGGGTGTCTTCTGCTTCTCCCAGGAGAACATCATCTGGGCCAACCTGCGCTACCGCTGCAATGGTAAGAGGAGGGGGTAAGGGGGCGGGATGAGGGGAGGGCCTGCTAGATAGTGGGTCTGCCCTTTTGGCCTCACCCTTTCTCATTCATCTATCCTCTCTCCCTCCGCAGACACCATCCCGGAGGACTATGAGACGCAGGGGCTGCTGCAGGCCTAGGGATGGGTGGGGACCTGCCATTAGATGACGGCCACCCTCAGGCCTAGAGCACTGAGGGGCAGCCAACCTTGGGGGAGGGAAGAGATCAGAGAGGACAAAATAAAGTGTGTTCGGCAGGATGGTGGCTGTGGTCTCTGCTTTGGGGAGATGGTGGAGTCTGGCCTTACTGCCGACTTCCCTCCGAACTAACTAGCAGTGTCCAGTTGCTGCAGCTCTCCCACCCCTGAAGTCTCTGCTCCAGGATCCTGGGGGGTTAGTTGCTCCCCTTCCAGGACACAGGTCCAAGTAGCTGGCTAGTAGGGTGAGGTTGTGAGGGGCGCACATCTGTGTCCATATTCATGCGTGTGTGTGGTTCCCACCAGGTGTACCTGTCACACACATATTTCATCTCTGGGTTGGAGAATGGGGGCAGGAAAAAAGGGGAGGAGGCAGAGACGAAAACATTGGGTTTTTATTAGGTTTCATTACAAAGGATGCAAAGGTACAAAGACAAAAGCGTCCACGCCAGAGGACAGGCAGGGGCTGGCCGAGTGCGCCCTGAGCCGCCCGCCCCAGCCCGCCACGGGCACCCACACGCACGGCCCATGGGACATCCACAGCAGAGTGTACATGCTGGGGTGGGGGTGGGGGGCAGAGCCAGCCTGGGGACAGAGGGACACAGGTGGGGCAGGGCTCAGACCGATGAGTTTGCATATATTAGAAGTGCCACCCAGCCCCCTTGGGGGCAATTTCCTGGGGGGACACATTAGGGGGCAATGGACCTTGGCTGCCAAAGGCCTCCCTCCCAGGGCCCGGTGGGGAAGGCCATGGCAGTGTCCCCTTGTCCGAGTGGGCAAGAGGTCGGAAGTGACAGACTGGGCATCAATTGCCCCCAAATTCCAGAACCTGGCTCCTTGGGATGAGGTGTTGGGAACTGGCCAGGAGGATGGGAGGCAGAGGGAGCCATCTGCAGCCAGCATTACCCTGACACACAACCCTTGCCCTTCACCCCGATTGGGAGGGGCCCTGAGACCCATAGGTCTGAGCCAGTAACAGGAGGGAGTCTTAGGCCCAGTTCACAAGGGCCTTGCATCTGCTCTCCATGCCCTCAGGAGTACCCCAGCACCCAGCCCTGGGGGTGCAGGTAACCCTACCTCCCTCTCCTGGGGAGTGCCCAGTTGCCTGTGGCACGAGGGTAATGAAAGGCCTGAGCCCCACTCAGCCAGCACCCCTGAAGGAATGTCACAGGGGCCCCTGACTACATATGGGGGTCATACATACTGTGAGACCCCCAGGAGGTGGGAGCCCAGGGACCAAAAGGAATGGGGACAGAAACAGACCCAGCTGCACACTTACTCCAGGTAAGCCTCCCAGAGTGGGTGAGGCACTCAGTCCTCCCCCAGCTCTGCAGGCCACATGAGGCGGGCTCAGGTAGCCACAGACCCCTCACCTGGAATGCCGCCTGCAGGAGTGATGGGCCAGGACCAGGGTGCCCAGTACCATTGACCTTGAGGACCCCAAACCCAAGCTTTGACCACAGCTTCATCAGAACCCAGGGGCTGCTTTGTCAATCCCCTAAAGCTTCTAGAACCTCATATGGGGTTGGGGGTGCCTCCTGTGGAAAAGCAGAAAGTTGAGTCCAGTGGAGGGGGCATTGGAGGGATGTTTGGTTATGAACCAGCTTAGGGGCCCCATGGCTCCTTAGGGAAAGTCACTCATCAGGCCCAGGAACCTGACAGACAAGGTCCCCCATACTGAACATCTGGCCCCAGCAGAATGCATGAATGGATATGGGGCCCCTTGCCCTCCCTCCACACAGCGCCTCATCTGACAGAGCTGACCTCACCCACTCCACTGTGACACATGGGCCTCACAACAGACCACCCCACTGGATGTCCTTCCAGGAGTTCGGCCAATGAAAATCAGGTCAAACACACTAACCACTCAGAACCCTCCTTTACCCTGAAAACCCATGAGCAGATAACAGCACAGAGGGCCCAAAAGGCCAGCCCACGCAAGGGGGTGGGGAGGCATCCCTGGGGAAAGGTCAAGAAGCACACAGCCCTGCCCTCGATAGCTGGTCCCAGGGACCCCTGTGGGGTGCTGGACCCACCTTAATTAGGGCCCCTTCTACTGTGGCTTGTCCCCACTGGGGAGCCTGGCCAACTTTTGAATACCATTGGCTGTGAGTCCCCAAATTTTGCTGAGGGGTTGACCTGCCCCCCTGAGCTTTCCACTGAGGGTCTCAAGCACCTCTGCCCCAAGAGACTGGCACTCACCCTTCCTGCCCAGAAGTGTCAAGGGGAGGGGGCTGCAGGACACTCCAAACAGTGCTACCTGTCTTCCCCCTGTAAGGGCATGGAGCGGGGAGGTCAGCATGGGCACCTGTGATGGGGGATGTGATCCCGAGACCCTGTCTTCTCCTCCAGTCAGTCCTGGGTACAACCCTCTTCTCTGGAGAATATAGAGAGTCGCTAACTCCAGGATCCATCTCAGCCCATGAGCTACCTAGAGGAACAAACTCATTGCCCTGGGGACTTGGAGGGAAGAGGGTAAACTGAGGCAGATGCGGATAGGCCAGGCAGTTTGAGCTCCCAGAGGAAAGGTTTGCACAGCTGAGGGGGCTCAGCTAAAGCCAGGAGCACTAGGAAGAGGGCAGCCGGGGGACCTGGATGGCCTTTGAGCCCCTGTGGGCTCAGTGTCCAGGCTTGAAGTCCAGTCTTGCCCCGAGCTTGTGAGTAGGACATGGGCGGTAGGTCTACATACAGAATATAGGCACAGGCCCGCCCTTCCTGGTGCAGCTTACCTAAAATCACAGTATTTTCACATCACAAGTCAAAAGACTGATTCCCTTAGGCTGTCTTGCCTCAGAAAGTCTTGGCAACTCAAGAATATTTAGTAGAGAAGTGATATTTAAGAAAAAAAAAATTCCCTGTTGCAGACCCCAGGAGGCCTCCCAAGGCCCAGGAAGACGTGGAGATGCCTGACCACTGGCTCCTGGTGGGGCCCCCTCCGAGGATAGCTCTGCACCTACACCTCTCATAGGCAGAGGATGCATGTTAATACAATGTTACCTGTGCTCCAGGCCATGGGCCTCTCCTGTCTGCACCTAGAACTGGTGCTGGACAGATGGGAAGCGTGGGCTGACAAGGCTCCCTCACTGGATCCCAAAGCCTTGTTTGAAAATTGCATCCAGGAAGGTTGCTTGTAATTATATTAAGGCCATTTTTTAAAAAGTTCTACATACAAGTCTAATGGTAACCAAACTCTTCTATGTACATGTAGATGTTCTTTTTTTTTTTTTAAAAAAAAGTCCCCATCTCTGTCCCCAGTCCCTGCCACAGTAAAAGGATAGGCCCTGGACCTGGACAGACTGACACTGTGCTCCTCCAGCCCAGACAATGGTGGCGGGGCCAAGTGACTGAGGGAGACCTTCTCACAAGTGTGGCTGCCCGGCTGCTTGGATACGTGCTAACAGCCTGGCCAAGAAGCAAAAAGGAAGGACGATTGCTGGGATCAAATCCAGCTCCCACTGAAAGGGCTCCCACAGCCTAGGCAGAAGGGTGGCCACTACCACCACAAAGAAATAACGCCGGGCAGAAGTGTCAGCTCAACAGCATGTGGAGGAGCAAGTTGAGATGCAACTTGGGGACTGAAACAGAGATTCCTAGTAAAGCTGCCAACAGAAAACAGAGCCAGCCTGCCACCCCCTCGAAGGGCCTGGAGGGCAGAGGGATGGTCACCTCTGCCTATCAAGGCACTTTGAGAAGCAAGCACCTAGAAATCCACCACTAAAAACTCGCTGCTCTTTGCCTCCAAACCCAGTCCTACCAGGAGGAGCAACAACAGAAGTGGCCAGCGGGATGTCAGCTGGTTCTCAGGATGGGGAGAGACAACTTCATCTGGGGTGTCTAGGAACAGAGTGGCCACAGCTGCTGCCAGCCTCAGGGTCTGGGACACACCAGCCCTGAGGACTGGCGGGCACCGTTAGGGCTAGGCAGAGCCAGGCCTTCTCCAGACCCTTAATAAAAGCAGGGGTTCCTTCTCCGAAGTCTGTTACGTAGCCAGAGAAAAGGCGCCTCCAGTCACCCAAGCTTCTGTCAGAGTCCTCGCCTGGCACAACCTGCCCTCACTGGGCTGGGCAGCCACTCAACCCTTCTGTTTTGAGATAACTTGAGGTGAAACTAATGAGGCTAGGGTCACAGCTCAGATGGCAGGCTGCTTCCAGTTAGCTTTAAAACATGTGTAATGGAGTATTTCAGGAATAAAAAGATGCTCTCAGGCAAGTATTGGCTTGAAGGAGTCAGCTACTTATCTACAGCCAAAATGGAAATACAGACCAAAAGAAACAACAAAAAAATACAACAAAAATGCCCTGGCCACCCCCTTCCCACACGTCTGTAAATAACAGTAACAGTGACCACAGAACAGAGCAGGAAAGATGAAAACAAGTTCTAAACCCACCCCTAGAAATAACCCGACTCCACATTCGTTCTCTAGCAGGTCCTGTCATCCTGGCCGGCGGCTTCCTGACAGAGGCAGCCCCAGAGGGACCTGGTGCAGGGGTAGGTGAGGCAGGAGGAGGCTGGGAAGATCTAGCTGCTCTGTTTACATCTTTGTATCCACCCCCATGGGAAGGGTTCTAGCATTCTGTTTGCTCAGGAATATAAAAGACAGCAATCAAAATAGTGTTTATTTTGCACTGGGTCTGTCCCACTCTCTGGCGTTCTCTCCCTTTTGTCGGGTGGGGATGGCTCTCTACCTAACCACAACCTGGGGGTGGCAGGTGCGGGGTGGAGGGTAGGAACCAGGGATGAAGGAAGGCAGTGAGAGCTGGACAACAGTCGGAAATGCACATTGCCCACCACAGTGAGGAGCAGACCCCGGTGCCGCCCAGGCCTGTGGCCCCGCCCAACATGCTTTCTGCATCTTACAGGGACTGATGGCTCATGGCCTGGGGTGGGAGCTGAAAGTGTGTGCACAGGGCGGAGTCCTAGAGGGCAACTCACAGCCTCCCAAGGGAGGTGAACAGCCGAGGGAGGGCGGGGGCGGGAGTGCTTGGCGGTATTGCAAGCTCAGAATCACAAGCTCGGCCGTTTGCAGGGACAGAGTGTGCAGTCCCTGGGCTCAGGGAGACTCCGTTGGGACCACTGACCGGCGGGGTGACGGAGCCGGGGCTGGGCAGCAGAGTGCTGGGTGTGCACTCACAGACGGTCCATCCGGAAGGTGTCCTCGGTGGCCGGGTCGGCCAGGACCATGTCAGGGTCATTGAGCATGTGCAGTCCATCCAGGGTCAGGGGGTCAATCTTGAGTTCATCCAGAGGGAACTGGCTGTCAGAGTCGAAGCTGACATCGCCAACCCCAACCAGCGTGCTGGTCAGTTCTTTAGAGAGGCTGGGAGGGGACTCTCCTGTCACTGGATTAGGGGGACACAAAAGTCAGCTCAGTCTTGGTTCCCTACCCCCACATTCAGGGAAGAGGGCTTGGGCCACCCCAGGGAACATTTTTAGCTGCCAGGACTAGGGAAGGGGGTGCTACTAACATCATGTGGACACCAGGGACACTGCTCAACACCACAATGCACAGGCTGGCCCTACCCAGAGAAAGATCCAGCCCCAGACATCAGCAGGTAGCCTCCTCCCGTGTCAGAGAAGCAGGCTGGGCATGCACATCTAGGGCCCTCCCTGTGGCATGGAGGAAGTCTTGTTCCTCTACAGAGACCCTGGTTCAAACCTGGAATCCCTCCTCTACTTGTGAGGAGTCCCCAAGCCTGTTTCCCCATCTAGGAACCAGTATAAAAGTCTCCATCTTGCCCAGCCAGAGTTGCTCAGTGGTTGAGTGTCAACCTGTGAACTAGGAAGTCGCGGTTCAATTCCCCGGCAAGGCTCATGCCTGGGCTGTGGGCTTGATCCCCAGTGGGTGGCATGCAGGAGGCAGCCAATCGATGATTCTCTCTCATCATTAATGTTCTATCTCTCTCTCCCTCTCTGAAATCAATAAACACACACACATAAATATATGTATATATGTTTAAAAGTATCCATCTTTCTGGATTGTCAGGGTCATCATGGGGGCCTGGTCCTCCTCAGGTACCTGAGGCACCGTCAGGGTAGGGAGGAAGTACTGGGTCTATACTTGGGGTCCCAACCTTGGGGGGACTCTGGGCATCGACCTATCCATCCTGGAGATTTGAGTGGGGACCATCAGGGGAGGGGGTGTCCACCTCAATCCCACACAGCCCTGGCTTATAAGGAAACTACTTCCTTCTTCAATAAAACCAAGAACCTTCGGTGGAGGGAAGCAGGGGTGATGGGGTGGAGAGGGCATCACAGGTCTGGGCTCTGCTACATGGAGCAGGACTTCCTCACACACACACCTGGGCACTATACTCAGGCCGTTTGAGACACATACTGCAGCGTGTACAAGCTGTTACACTCCTGTTGACTGCACAGGAAGCACCCCTCCTGCCATGCAGGGCTCACCCCCTGCCATGGTCACTTATATTCCCAACACACTCAGCTAACTGTCTTCAGGTGCCTGGGTGGCAGGCATAGGGCTGGGAGAGTGACTTGCTCTGAGCACAAGGTGCTATATGCCTGGTGTGGGGTCCAGGTGTATGTCCCCCTTGCCTGTCTGCAGCCCAGCAGCGATTCAAGGTTAGGAACAGGGGTCTGGTCTCTCTGGGTCCACACCAAAGGCAGGGACACCTCAGTTGTGTCATGACTCACCCTATAGGGCAGCGAGTTCCATCTCCCCCAGGGCTGAGACCTATGACAGGGACACCAGGACTGAGACCCCTGCCCAGGACACCTCACACAGGACCTCACCTGTGAGAATGATGTTGGGGATACTGCTGTGGCTGGGATAACCAAGCTGCTGTGTGTCTTGCAGGTTCCCATGGCTGCCCGTCAGGCCCATCATGGCCGCCTGCGAGTAGTTGAGTGTAGAACCCGGGCTGTACAGACTGCTGGAGCTGATGGCGGTCTCCAACATGTTGAACTGCTCCAGCTGGAGGGGACACAGGGTGTGAGGCCGGCCACTGAGCACTGCTGCTGTGGGAAGGGCTGCCTGAGACTTCCGGACCACCTCTTCTGCAGGATGCCTAGAGCTGTGCTCAGGTCCACCCTCGTGAGGGCTGCTCACACGAGTCCCTCTGCCCTGGGGTATCGCCGTCTCCTAACCCACATGGGCCTGCCCACATACACACCCTCAGGGCTTGCAGGATGGATGGATGGATAAATGGATAGATGGTTGAGTGACCAGCTCCAGGTAGCGGCCAGCCCCTCCTGTGCCCGCATGCCTGATTCTGGCCTCCACACAAAGCCAACTTGACCTCCCGCAAACTCACATGCATGGCGCACGCCAAGTGCCACTGTGACAGCCACTGCCCATCCCTGCAGGCGTTCACTGACACACCAGGTGCACACGCCAGGAGAGGCAAAGGCAGTCACATGCTCCACTGCCTGTAGACAGGAGAGGCTAGGAGCAGAGCTCACTCCCGAGGGCGGGCGGGGTCCGGGCAAGCATTTGCTGAGGGCGCTGTGGCCCGGGCACCCGCTCACCTGGTGGGACAGAGCATTGGCCTGCCTGGCCGCCATCTGCTGCTCATAGTACGAGTCCCCAAACACGCTGCCCAGGGTGGAAGAGTGCTGCAGATAGAAGAGAGGCTTGCTGTTGTCATGATCCCCACTAGGTTGGGGGGGGGGGTGTTCCTATAGGCCGGTTGAGCCCACAGCGAGGGCCCTGAGACCTAGTGAAGGATGCACGAGACAAGGGAGGTGGATGACAGCTATTCCAGGGCGCCTACACTGAGCTGACAACTCCCCCATCTCAGGATGACGGCTTCTTTCTCCTGCCTGCTGGGGGCGGGATGGCTCTACACCCTGACATTTCCCAAGAACGCCACCCCATCTCCTTTCCTTCAGCTCAGATGTAGGTGACCTCCTTTCTGACAGACAGAAGATGAGGGAGTGGGGGATATGAGGATCAGGAACCCTGACAAGTCCCAGAGGAAAGCATGTAACTGGTACCAAGGCACAAGATTCCCTAAATATTCAGAATGGGACGAGCACTTGGTGAGTTTTGACAGGCCTCTGTTGACACATGTGGACAGGATGAGTGCAGAGCAAACACAGGACAGGCACTCAGAAAGCCCCCTCTCACCTGCTGACTCCTGGCAGCCAGCCCTCGAGACCCCAGGGCTCACTGGTGGGCATGCAGCCCATTCCTGCTTGTTCAAGGCTGGCCAGGGAAGGGGACTGGGAGATGCTCCTGGGAGAGAAGCAGGGGGCTAGGACCTCAGAGGTGGTGGAAACACCAGAAAGAGCTTGGAGCCCCTGCCCATTCTGGAGATACTGCCAGGGATGGTGGGATGGAGCCTGGCAGGATGTGGGAGGGAGGAGAGGGATGGCTGGTGTGTACCGGCTGCACCTGAAACACCAGGTCTGGACAGATATATTCCCAGCCCAGACCCAAAGTGTCTCTTCTGCAGGACGGGGTGGCTCATCGAAGTTGCTGCACCGTGGCCATTCCCAGGCGTCATCCTCTCAAATGTCTCCACAGATCAAAGGCCCTAGAACCTTCCCTCTGAGTTCCCTGTTCTAGAAAGGTCCCCACATGCTTGACAATGGCAAGGCTTGAGTCTCAGGCTTCCATTCCAGACAAGGATTGGCCACAAACCCACTGGCTGCTCCAGGTGGTCAGTGGGCTGAGAGCAGAAAGGGACAGATGGCTACCCTGGTGGGCAGGGAGGCTCCTGGGGACGAATGTTCTATTCAAACACCAGGGAAGAGTTAAAAATTACCAGCGTTAGGTTTAAAAAAGGGGCTGAAGGTTTTGGCTCGCTTTGCCCATGAAGGAGGTGGCAGGTTTCTTCTGAGACACCTGTTCCTGTCCCTGTGGCCTTGGCCCCAGAGAGGCCCAGCATACACAGGGGACCTCAGGCCACAGTTTCTCTTGTGAGGAGGCCATGAGAGTTTGCAGGAAGGTCTGCTCAGAACTGAAGAGGGAGGCAGCACACAAGACACGATCTCAACTGCTTGAGGCTCAGTGCATCTGCTCAAGGCCAGGGAGGCACAGGCCTATGGGGCTGATGACTGTGTCCTGGAGGACTCAACCTACAAAAGGAAGTCAGGTCTGCCCTCCGAACAAGCCCATTGCCCCTCTAAGCCAGTGTCTCTGGTTGGGGTCAGACAGCCTGATGGCCCCGTCCTCACACCTGAGTTAGCAGCCTGCATCCCTTGACAGATGGACCGACACACAGATGGTGGCTTGACACGACAGGAAAAGGCTCTGCCTGGGATGGACCACTTTGGTAGAGACAAATCTCTCCTGAAAGAAATCTACTTGACCCTCAAATTCCTGTCCTGCTTTGAATTAGAGGGATGCTACTCAGGGATTGGCCCCAGGGAGGGCTGCCCATCTGGGACAGGTCCCACCTGCTGCCTCCCCTGCCAGGTGCAGCTCCTCCAGCCTGCTATATCCCACGGTACCACATGACGAGACCACCTTCTGGGAGGCATGAGAACTCAGAGTTGGGGTGCATGAACAGAGAGCATGCAGACATCAGGCCGAGCCCTGGCCTGTCCCAAGCTTACTGCCACCCTCTCCGCCTGCCTACGGAGCAGGAGGCTGCACACTGACGGTCCCAGCAGGATCCCTGGCGGCTGTGGGTGTGGAGGCAGCACCTGAGGGCCCCTCCTATAGCAGATGAAGCCTCAAGTCCTCCCTGAACGGGATGCCCACTGTCCCAACACAGGTCTGGGTTCAGGGTGCACGTCTGAGCTGGGGACAAGGGGGCCTGATGTCTTTCCTGCCTGTCTAGAGGGGCAGCTCTGCTCCTTGCTCTATGCAGAAAGGCGAATCCTCTCTCCCCTTGGCTGAGAATAAGGCTTGGGGCCTGGGGCACTGCAGGGGCTCCTAGGGGTTTCTCAACTTAGTGATATTTTGGGGACTGAGGGGCAGAGTCCTGGAGAGGCTTCACTGCAAGTGAGATGTCTTGGGCCCAGATGTCAGCTTTTCAAGCACCCCTTCCTCTCTGACGGAACATTCCAGATGGAATATGGCTACAGCCGAGCCAGGCTAAGGGGAACCCTGAGGAACCTGGACAGGGTGTGTGCATATTAGGTATCAGGGACCAACTGTGCCAGGTGTGGGAGAGTAACCTGCATCTGACAGGGCCTAGGGCCTAGGGTCAGCCTGTCTCATCTGTGGAAGGGGAACAAGGACCTGACAGGCTATAGTACTGTTCAGAGAAGCTTTCTGGGGGACACACCTTCCTAGGGGGTAAAGGGGAGGGAAGGGGGCTGAGTAGTCAACACCCCCACAACTGGCTATCACCTTAGCTTTGCTCCAAAATAAGGGGAACACCCCCCACTCTCAAAAGCCTCAAGACACCAGGCCTCAGGGTGGTCAGACGCAGGTGAGGACATGTTAACAGGCTATTGGATGCCATGTTTGAGCTACACTTGGGGCTGTCCCCAACCATGGACGAGGAGCTGGGGTGTGGCTGACACTGAGATCCTGTATGTGCCCTGACCAGGGATCAAACCCACAACCTTGGTGCATCGGGACAACACTAACCAGCTGAGCTACCTGGCCAGGGCCGGCACTGTGATCTTTAACAGGCTGAGGAGCCCACCACCTCCAGCTGGGGCTTTGCACAGACCAGAGGAGCAGCGGGAACGAGGGGCAGCACCTTCTCCTCCCAGCCCCATGGAGCGGACGAGATGGGATGATGTGAGGCATGAGGCACAGATGGCAGGCAAGGGCACAGGGGGGCGAGGTGAGCTGGGGATGGAGTGGCGGCATCCCTTACTTGTGGGGAGCTCCCAGGGGAGAAGCCTTGATTGGAGACGGGTGAGGTGGGAGACTGGTTGGCTGGGGAGCCGGCACTAGTGCGGTACTGCTGCAGAGCCGGGGCCTGTGACGACAAACAGGTCAGGACGTGGAGGCCCCAGCCCGGCTCCCAGCTGAGCCTCCCACAAGCCCCCACCCCTCAGTGGGTAGAGGACCTGGGGCCAGAGCTCGGGGCCTCAGGGGTACCTGCCTCCAAACCCAGCTCCCAGGTGTTGGGGGCTGGAGTCAGAGAACCTAGAACCGAGCGTCATGGAATTGTCCTGATGGGCTGTGGGGGAGTAAGGGTTGGGTCCACCTCGATTCAACATGCTTTAAAACAACCACACTACGTACATGTGCACACAGCTACACACATGCACACTCACACACACGAAGGCAGAGATGGCCTAGGACTGGGTGGGCAGGCGTTGCCTTTTGCTCCTGACTCTGGATGGATCCCTGGCTCTCTCAGTCCCGAGTCTGTACTGGCACATCCTGCCCACCTCAAAATGGTGGTACTAACAGCAGGACTCCCAGCACTAAGAAGTCACCATCACTGGCATGGCTTAGCACAAGCCTGATGGGCTCATGCTCTCCAGAGACCTCAGAGGGCTGGCTACCTCCCTGTTCAAAGGCAGAGGACCCTGGCTTCTTACCAGGCCCTGGTTTCTCACCACAGATGAGACAGGCTGGGCCAGGATCTGGATTTAAACGCTGCCTGACCTCTCTGAGCCTGCTGTTCATGGAGGCCCAAGGCCCTATGAGTGCTCAGTCTCTCCATTTCCTCAGTGACCTACTCTGAGCAGTTTGTGATGGGGGTTGAGCCTGGGTGGGGCATGGGAGCTCAATTAATAGGGTGTGGGTGGCACCAGTGTGTCACTTGGTGAAGACCAGGAAAATGTCCAGAGAGATGCTCTTGCCTGGGAGAGTCTGCAGAAACTCTGGAGGAGACTGCCTGTGCCCCAAGGGAGCCAGCTGTCCCTGGGGGTACCAGGAGATAGACTCTCTGACCTGGGAGCCTGGGGAGGCACTGTGTGTGCACCTGGTTTGAATACCCGTGCCCACAATGTCCACCCAGCTCCATAGTAGCCAGGCCCCACTGCAGGAGGGTATTGGGGAGCTGGGTGCCCAAGTTGGCTCCAGCATCAGTGCTGCCCCCACACTTGCTGTGTTAATGCTAAAGGAAAGGCTTGGGTACTTTCCTGTGTGTGTGTGTGTGGGGGGGGGGGCCGCTTGCCTGCTGAGGGGTTGGAGCAGCTTGGAAATGTGGGTCTCTACTGTTAGGTCACCTGACCACCAGCTTTGGGGGGTGGCTGTTCTTTGCAGAGCACATGATGTTCTGAGAGCTTTATCCCCTGGCTGTTAGCTGAAGGCTGAATGGGGAGGGCTCACTGTGCCCCAAACATGGGTCTCTGTTCCTTTGGATGTGGCCAAAGGTAGCAATGACCACCCTCTTCCCACCAGAGTAATCAGGGTCAAACTCTGAACAATCAGGAAGCTTTGGGTTTGAGGAGGTAAAAACCTAGCTCAGCCCTGGTAGGGCATCCAATGGTCTGAGCTGCAGTCCCTGGCTGGGCAGAGGGTCCCATGGTTTGAGCCGCAGCTCCCCTGCCCCAGCCCAGGAAGTGGGTCCCATGGTCCCATCTTATAACTGAGCTGCAGCCCTGGTCCAGGCAGGGGGGTCCCAGGGTCTGAGCTAAAGCCCCCGGCTCAGACACTGTGCTGCATCCCTTCCTCCCCTCCAAGTTCACCTCTGACCCTCTGGCTTGCAGATGCCTGTGCCTCAGGCCCTGAGAGCTGTGCTCTCCTTACCTCCTGGGAAGCCCTGTTTTGGATGGGAAGGGAAGGGGCAGGTATCAAGGGCCATGGGGAATGGCTTGGCAGCCAGACATGGGTAGTCCATATTAGGTAAGGTTTGGGGCACTGACACGTGCTTGTGCCTCGGTTTCCCCATGTGTACATGGGGTGACATACTCAGCAGAAACTCCACTGGGTGCTGAGCCCCCGGCAGTGTCTGCTTCAGCCCCAAACCCTGGCAAGTTGGCCTCCAAATGGAACCTTGAGGTGGCTGCAGACAAAACTGGGCATCCAACTCTTTTCAGGCCCTGGGCACCCAACAGAGCCTCCCACAGCCCCAGGTTCCTCCTGCATGACCCCACAGCCAGACCCCAAGGCCAGGCCTCGACGACCATGTCCTGGGCTTACCGAGGCGATATCGATTCCCATCGGTGGCTGGCCTGGGTTGTCTGGGGGGGACTGGGAGAGAGAGGACGGTACTGTGACCAGGAGCGGGGGCAGCTGGGGTCCCTGCGTCAGGCTGGTGCTCGGCATCAGGGGGCTGCCTGGGGGGAGGTTGATGGGCACCTGCGGAGGCGGTGGGGATGGTTGCTGCTGGGATACTGGTGGCGGGGGTGGCGGGGGCTGGGGCTGCGGTGGAGTTGATTGCTGGGAGCCTGCCTGGGTGAAGAAGGCGTAGGGCAGCTGTTGCTCCAGAGATAGGGCATCCATGGCCACAGCCTGTGGGAAGAGAAGGGCATCAGATTCAGGTGTCAGCATTGGGGGCCAGGCCACAAGCACCTGGTCCCCCGAGGGGCCCTCATGGCCTGGCAAGTTCAGCAACGATGTGATAGAGATGAACAAAGAGACATCACACCCTGGACCGGGAGGCACAGGCCTAAACGGGGCCTCACCCAGGGCTATGGAGGGTCAGCTGGACCTGGGCATCTAATCCAGCTGGCTGCACCCTACACCCCACCAGCCTTTCTTTTATCCTCATTGCACACCAAGAGGTAGGCACAACCTTCTGTATTCACACAGGCTCAGGAAATCCACGCCTCTCTGAACTGAAGTTTCCCCACTGCAGGCAGGCACCAGATATCACACTATGGTAACCTAGAGGGTGGCCAGCGCCTATTCCCCTCAGAGAGGGGAAGGGACTGCTCATCACCATCCTGCAGCCTGGCTCACCTGCGGAGGTTAGAGAGGGTGCGAGTGATGAAGGTACTGATGTAGCCACTAGGTGATAACCAGTTCACGCCTTCTCAGAGTTGGAAAGAGGAAAATAAGCAGAGGAAGTTTTCAACAGTCATGAGTCTGTGCAGAGTCCCTGGGATATGCAGGAATCCTGCCCTGAGATGGAGGCAGTACGTGCCCGGGAGCTTAGCAGATGCCTAATCTCTAATAAGTACTTTCCAGAAAGGGAAAGCAAGCCTGAGAGACTGGGGGTGGAGAAAAGGGGCAGGGGTCACAGATGGAGAGAGTGACGACACAGCTGCCAGAAAAACCACCATGGCTCTTCTGGATCCTGATCTGAACCAGACCACTGTACAAGGAGACACGAGGGGAACCAGGCCCAGAACAGGCATTGAAATGTGTGAATGACTTAATTTTGTTATAAGTGAATTATGCCATCAAGGTTATATTAAAAAAACAAAGAACAAAAATGTTATCTGTCAGGGATTTTTAAAAAATAGTCAAGTCCTGACTGGTGTGGTTCAGTTGGTTGAGCGAAGGGTCACTGGTTCAGTTCCCGGTTGGGGCACATGCCCAGGTTACAGGCTTGATCCCCAGTCAGGGTGCTTTTGGGGGCAGCCAATTGATATTTCTTTCTCACATTGATGTTTCTCTCTCTCTCCCTCCCTAAAAATAAATGAAAACATATTTTTTAAAAATTAAGCCCTGGCCGGCTTGGCTCAGTGGATAGAGCGTCAGCCTGAGGACTGAAGGGTCCCAGGTTCGATTCTGGCTAAGGGAACATGCCTGGGTTGCGGGCTCGTTCCCCAGTGCGGGGTGTGCAGGAGGCAGCCAATCAATGATTCTCTCTCATCATTGATGTTTCTATCTCTCTCTCCTTCTCCCTTCCTCTCTGAAGTCAATAAAGAATATATTTTAAAAAAAAATTAATAAGATGGACAAATTCCTAGAAACACAGAAATTACCAAAATTGACCCAAGAAGAAATAGAAAATCTGGGTAGATCTATATCAAGTAAGGAGGTTGCATTAATAATAAAAAACCTCCCAGTGAAGATAAAAGCTCAGACCTCAGGTGGCTTCGCTCATGAATTTTACCAAACATTTAAAGAATTAACACCAATGCTTCTCAAACTCTTCAAAACAAACAAACAAACAAACAAAAAACAGAAGAGGAGGGAACACTTCCTAACTCATTCTATGAGCCTCAAGTGACTAAGTAAACAAGAGAAGAATTAAATTACTAAAATCAAAAAGGGAAGTGGGAACATTACTACCAACTTTACAGAAATAAAAGGATTATGAGAGAGTACTATTACTATGAACAATCATATACCAGCTTGCTGCGTGACCTAAATGAAACAGACTAATTTCTATATACACACCATTACCAAAAAATCAAAATTACAGTAAATTGGGGGAGAGAGGGAGATCTCTCTAAAATTTTATTTTGGAAAATTTCAACTAGATCCTAAAAAAGAGAAAGTACCATAATTGAAATATGCCCCATTCACACAGCAATTGCTAACATAGGACATGCCCGTGATGGCACAGGGGACTCCAGGTCACTGATTAACGCATTTCCCATGTGTTTAAAAAATTGACAAAAAGCCAAAAATGCTGGACTGTTTCTAAGGTCTCCCTGGAAGGAGTAGGTCTCCCAGAGAGACAGAACTGGGCCGTCCCCCACGCCACTGCGCCCTCGAACCTGAGTGATGGGTGACAGCGGGGAGAGGGTGGGTGACACCTGCTGTGCCTGCTGCTGCCGCCGTGTCTCCGAACTCAGGGATAGTGGGCTGACATTGGCCGGACGGTGCTGCGGTGAAGAGACTGGAGTGTTCATCCCTGGAAGGAAGGAAGGGTTGGCATGACTCTAGCCTCCAAAGGGCCACTCATACACCCATGGTCACTGTTGGGGACAGCTCAATTGCTCAGACAGAAGCCAGTGGGCATGACCTGATTGCCAGACCCAGGGTACCCCCTCCAAGATCCTGATACCCTGATCTTGGGGACCCCAGCTCTGTGTGGTCTCTATTCTCCTTCAAAAATCCCATGATGACCAACACTCTCCATACTGATCCTGCCATCCCTCCAGGAGGGGTGTCCTGAAGGTCCTGCTGGGCAGTACTTTCCTGCTTCTGGACTGCCACATGATTGGCCCCTAGATGGACATGTGACCAGGCTGATCCAATGAGAGACTGACCTAGGACTTCTGATGGAACTCCAAGAGAGGCTGGAGGTATAGAGGGTGTGTGTGTGTGTGTGTGTGTGTGATTCTGTGGCTGGAAGGGGAAGGATCAGTTGGAGAATGAGGTGGGAGAGTCAGCACCTGAGCCCCGGATGCAGCTACACTGGCACTTCCCCTCTTTGGGAGACAATCAATCTACTTTTTTCCCTAAACTGGCTTGGATTTTGGTTAGCTTCAAACAAGTCAGTCCTGCCCAACACTGGAGTTTCCTCTTGACCTTCATGCCCTCCTCACCCTCATTTGATGCACATGTTCTTTCTCATAACTGCTCCTCTGGCCAGATCTCCTCTCAGCCCTGGATTTGTATAACTGGCATCCCCTCCATCTCCCCATCTCACTTCCACCTCCCCGCCACCCACCCCTAGTGTATTTTTCATGCTGGACCATCAGCTCCACTGGCTAGAAACTCGGTTACTCTTTATCTTCTTCCAAAACCCACATTCCTGATGGAGCTCCTGCCAGAGATTCCACATCCTTCTCTCCCCTTGGCCCGCTCCCCCAGCAATCCAATGCCTGAATACAACTGTTGTGAAGGACCTGAGTGAGGTCAAATTCAGTGTGGCAGCATTTGGGGCTTATGTTATCCCAGGCACTGTGCCAGACGGCCAACAGGCCCGCTGATGCAACGAGGAGCCCTGAGGGCCTGGCCTGACCACCCAGACTCTGTTTCCATGTCCTCAAGATGGAGATGATATCGGCTGTCCTTGCCAGTTAACTGTGAGGCTTTAATGAACTGTGAGTCAAGGCCAGTGAAGGTGTCTAACTCATCCATGGGAGCCAGGCCCACCCTGTGAAGGGCACCAGATCAACCTTGTTCCAGCAGGTAAGATGACAGGTTCACAGGCCAGTTAGAATGCACCCAGTGTGCACTGAGGGAGATGATGGGCAGTTGCTTACTGTGTCATCCATGTGAGGAGAGCCAGGTCACACCTGCACTTCTCCTTGGATGCCCTGGTGGCTCCTCTTGGCCAAGCAATGCGGGGCACCTGGTGCCATTGATTGCTCCTGAGGCAGGGCCTGGGGATCCAATTTCTGCACAGAACTTGGGACCCAGAAATCAGGCTGCTATGGACACAGAGACATCAAGGGAGGCAGGGTCAGAGGCCTGGGCAGGAGTCCAGGAGACACCTGCTCAGAGCGCAGTTGGAATGGGTACCCTGGGCAGTTGCCTCATCTCCTCTGAGTGTCCATCACTTCATAGGTCCAGCAGGCTGAGGAACATGTGACATCCAGAGAGAGCAGATGTCAGTGTTCAGTAAGCAGCAGAGTCAAATGCCAGGAGTGAGAGGAGCAGTGGGGTGACAGCGGCAGGTGGGCCTGTGGTATACTGGAGCTCTCTGGCCCATCTTGGGGCATAGGATCTTGACCCACTGCTGCTAGGTCCTCTGATTCAAAAGAAGCCAGAAATCCAGGTTTTTACACGCACTCTCCTGATGTTTAAGTATCTATTCAAAGCACCATACACACACACACAGTTGTGGGCTAGACAAAATACACCACTGGGCTAGATTTGGCACCTGGGCTGCCAGCCTCTAACATCTGCCCTGAATACAAAGGTGGTTTTGAATCCTCTGCTGGACTGCAGTGAGCTCCTGGACTCACATGGGGGACCGGAGGGTGAACGAATGCCTTACTATTGAATTCCTTTTGGCAACCTGGGTCACCTTTGGGAAAAGGAGTGGGGCCAGTTGGAAGGGAAGTCTGGGCAGGCAGGGAGAGCTGCCAGGGGAGGACGAGCCAGGTAACAGGGGCCCATCCCAAGACACATAAGCCCTGAATGCAGGAGCAGCCAGGCACAGAGCAGTGCCAAGAAGGAGGACCCAGGCCTATTGTCCTCCCAGGTCCCAGCGGACAGCCAGGGAACCGACTTTAGCAAATGTGGAAGAGGACGAAAGGGGCCATTGTCTCCCTCTCTGATGGGAAGGCCTCTTCCTTTTCTTGGGCTCATGATCTGACTATTGGGTGAGCTGGGGGCGGGGGGGGGGGGGGGGGGGGGGGGGGGGGGCAGTCTCCATGTGTGCCAGAGGCTAAGGCTCGGCTTGATTTAAAACGCACTCAGAAAGTGAAGCCCCTGTCAGGCGAGCCCCTGGAGCGGCAGGTTTGAAAACAATCCAACACATGTCAGACATCACTGGCAGATACTAGAACCAGGTGGCGAGGGTCCGATCCCCGCCCCCGGGTCCCCCTCCCATATGCAGCCCGATTCAGGGTCTGCAGCTTTCACATGTGCTTGTTTTCCTGTGCTTGTTTAGACTCTGCTCAGAAGTGCACAGCTCCTGGTGGGTGCTGGGAGGCTGCCAAGGACTCTCGGGTGGAGGGGGGTGATCCTCTGGAGGCCACAGTCAAAAGTGGGGAAAAATGGAATTTGCATATTATCCTTTTATTATATAGGATATGCATTGCCCATGAACACAGAAAATAGGGTGGTGAAGGCCTGGGGCGGGGTGGAAACCGGGTGGTGGGGGTCAAGGAGAAAAAAGGGAGGACATCTGTAATACTCTCAACAATAAAAATTTAAATAAATAAAAAAGTGGGGGAAAATGGGGCCAGGAAACGGCAGTGTCAGCATCAGCCAGGGAAAGTGGGGGGCAGTAGTCCCAGAACCAACCTTCCACTCTCTTCCTCTGCACATGCACAGGCCAATGCTTACGCTGCTGCCCACTGGTCTCTAGGGGCCATGGGTCTTGGGCTTCTCTGAATCTACTCATTTGTCTTTGGGCCTTCGGGGGGTGGGGGCGGGGGGCATGGCTGGGATGGTGCCCTTTGCTCTGTAGCTAAGCCTGGGTGGGCATAGGGCCAGGGGCAATCTCAACATCCTCAGGCCAGAGTCCCACTCCTCTCTTCATTGTCTGGCTTCCATCCCCTTATCTAAAAACCTAGGAACATGGTACCGTCTCCAACACACCTCACATTCGCAGGCCCCATGGGCACCAGAGGTAGGACTGACTCTCCACCACTCCTCACATCAACCCAGCTCCCAAGCCAGCCAATTTCCCCCAGAAATCTCTCTTCAGAGTGTCTGACGGGGCCCTGGCTTGGTCTAGGTGCGGCCTCCCCTCTGACAGCCTGTTCTCCACGGGCAGTCAGAGCGCTTGCAAGTGAACGTGACTTTGAGCGTGTGATTATCTCAGAAATTGCTGCATAGTGCTGCCCACCACACTCAGGGTGATGACATGTGAATGCGGCTGCTCTGTGGTCCCTGTGCAGGAAGAAGGGAACATGATGTAGTGCTCTCACTGACCACCAAGTCCTGATACCTTTGGGCTCACAGAGGGGCCCCCTTGAGCCCTCCTGCTCGCTGGGGCTGCTGGGAGCACCCTATCTCCTCTCTGAATGCAAACCCACAGTCAACTCAGTGCAGGGGTCACAGTGGGGTTGCAGGGGAGTGAGGCTTAGCCCAGGGGACAGGTGAGAACAAAGTACTCAGGGTGAGTACAGAAAAGCAAAAAAGCAACGCTGTGTAAGCCAGGTGGAGGGTGTGAGCAGAGGCCAGGAGGCCTCACTACGGGAAGGTGGTGTGAGCAGAGATGGGGCAGGTGAGGGGTCCTTGCCGCCTAGAGGAAGAGGAGGACCATGGGGGAGGAACAGCATGTACAGAGGCCCCGAGGTGAGCTCATTAGCTGGAGAGGAGAGGTGTGGGAGGTGAGGGGCTATGCAAGGACCAGAGCAGAGGAGGGCCATGAGCTGAAAGCTGTTCTGGGTGGAGAAGAGGCTGGGACTGAGAAGGGGTGTGGCAGCTGTACAGGATGAGGAGGGTCCGAGTTAGGCTGGGTCCTGATGGTGGGGCTAATAGACATGCCAGTTGGTCAGGGTGGGCAAGAGGACCAAGGGATTGAGGAGTACAGCTCCAGGTTCCTGGTCTGTGTTGCAGGGAGATAGTGCCATAGGCCCCTAGGAGGAACAGGGTTGGGGTGGTGCCAAGAGATACTGGGATGGGCAAGGGCCCCAAGTGTCGCCCCTGAAGACATAGCCAGGGAGAAATGAGTGTGGAGCCTGGGGAGGGGGTCAGGCTGGAGTGTCCCAAGAAGGCAGCCATAGTCAGCTATGGGGTGGGAAGAAAGGGAAAGTCTGGTGGACCACACTCTCTAAAGCTCCCAGCACCCCTCAGAACCACTGTCCCATCCCTAGAGACAACATGAGCCTTCCCAATGCGGGGTCTTTGCCCAGACTGTACCCTCTGTCCTAACACCACTCGCCTTGGGATAGCCTAGTAACACCAAGCCTCCACTCCATGTTGGGCTGTTCCCACTTTATGCCCAGCATTTTGGAAGTGACCCTGCTCAGTCGTTTCTCTCTCTCTCTCTCTCTCTCTCGCTCTCTCTCACACACACACACACACACACACACACACACACACACACACATATATACACACACACATGCGCCATCCTCGCTAGCAGGTGAACTTTGCTGGGGAAGGAAGTGTCCTCACCCTCCCGGCCTTACCCTGGCCAGTGCTGCCGATGCCCAAATGCGTTAAGTTGGCAGTGAGGTTGCCGGTGCTGCTGGAACTGCTGAGCGCTGGGAAGGTGGGCTCCTCGGGGTCCAGCGGGGTTGGAAGCGGGGAGGGGAAGTGGATGTTGGTCAGGTCAGGCAGGGAACCCCCGGTGTTGTGGGTGGTAGGAATCAGGGCTGTAGTGTTTTCCTGGTCAGCAGATGGAAAGATGCTGGGAAAAGGCCAGACACAGGGGAGTTGACCTCTTGGACTGTGGCTGCTGGTTCTCCCCCAGAAGCTGTGGTGGCAGTGGTGGTGGTGGTGGTGGGGGGCGCTTGCAAAAAAACACACTAACTGGTGCAAAAGGACATCCTGCGATCAGATGCTGTCATGCTCAAGAAACAACCATCAGCCCAAACCTCCAATGGGAAGCAGCTTATCCCTGCAGGGCAGGGAGAGGGGATGGGATGAGGGTCCTCCTGCTGTCTGGGGACAGTGTGTCTAAGGCAGTGGTTCTCAACCTGTGGGTCGCGACCGCTTTGGGGGTCGAACGACCCTTTCACAGGGGTCGCCTAAGACCATCCTGCATATCAGATATTTACATTACGATTCATAACAATAGCAACATTAGTTATGAAGTAGCAACGAAAATAATTTTATGGTTGGGTCACAACATGAGGAACTGTATTTAAAGGGCCAGAAGGTTGAGAACCACTGGGACTCTAAGGGGTGGAAGCATCCCCCAGGGCAAGCCTTGCTGGGTGGCCACCAGCAGCTCAGCATCCCTCTTGTCTGGACTTGTAGCCTCTCGTGAACAGGTGGAAATTGGCGTGGAGTTGCCGTCTGAGCAGCCCCTGGTGGCCATAGGCATGCAGGGCAGGTCCCACTGTGACTTACTTGATTCCGGGGACCTCGCAGGACTTGGGCCTGGACCCTGTCTGAAAGAGAAGACAGCAAAGGCTCAGCAGCCTCCTCATAGCATGGTTGATCTCCCCAAGAGAGCTGAGTGATGCTCAAGGAGAAGCAAGCTATGGGGTCCCAGGGAGTCCCACAGATGATGAGCGTCCCTAAGGGACTGTGTGTGTGTCCGGGGGGGTGCCCCAGACATGCCCAGGGGCTAAACCAAGAGTTAAGTGGAGAGGGTCTCCCTATGGTCCCTCCCAGCTTCACTGTGTCTGCCTGGTAAGGTAGCACAGTCCAGGGGTGATGTGGTGCCTTGTCAGAGCTGGTGTCCCGGGGGATCGTGTTGCCTGCTCTTTACATCTCAGACCCTCAGGCTGTGCCCACAGCTGTTGGCCACCAGCTCTGTAGAGGTCCACTGGGAACCTGGGTGGCTGAGGCTAACCCCTCATATATTCCTGGATCAGGGTGGGAAGGAGAGGGAGTCAATAGGGCAGAGACTGCCTCTGCTCAGCATCTGTCTGTCCACCCCCAGAAAGAACATCATGTGGGGAAGCCTGAAGCAGCTTGGACTGGCTGCCCTGAAACAAAGAGGCTGCCACTGTGGCACCAGCGGACCGGCCTTCCTGTGGTGCCTCGAGGTGTGACTCCCATGGGGACCCCAGCACACCACCATTTGAGGACCAGAACTCTGGCCACCCTGCAGGCTAGCCCAGGAGAAGGGGTCCTAGGGAAACCCTATGGGCAGTAAGACCTCTGTGAGCTAGAGCAGTGGTTGCCAACCGGTGGTCCCCGGACCACTGGTGGTCCGTGAGGTCTGAAAGGTTGGCGTTGCTGAGCTAGAGACACTATTGCCACCGGAGATCTGCAGGCTCCAGGCCAGGCCTCTAGATTCTCATTCAAGGACAAAGCAAGGAACTCTCTTCCTCAGGCAGCAGACATGACAGGACAAAGCCTGCGTGCTAACAGGCGCTCCACTGTGTCACGTTCCCTAATTCCTGTCTGCCTCTGGGGCCCTCAGGTAGACACTCCTGTTGATGTGTTCTTTAGGGATTACCAGACAAGAATGTGGACCCACTGGGGAGGGCTGGGTCAGCCCACAAACACACCCAGTGAGAAGGGAATGCCAGACTGGCAGTAACTGGGCCGCCTCAAGGGGCTTGTGACCTTGAGCTTCTGTAGGGAACTGGGTGGAAGGGATTTCTACATGGCCACAGGCTCCTTAATTCTGGGAGTAAACATTAGCTTTATTACTGGATTTTTGCAAAGCACCTTGACAATGACTTTCTAAAGAATCTTTTCAAAAACATTCCACATAAACAGTCTTAAGAATTCACCCACCCTTGGCCAGTGTTTCTCAGTAGTTAGAGTGTCGGCCCCCCACCAAAAGGTTGTGGGTTCGATTCCTGGTCACAGTCAGGCAACATGCAGGAGGCAACAAATTGATGTGTCTCTCACATCGAAGTTTCTCTTTTACTCTCTCTCTGCCCCCTTTGCCTCCCTTCTACTCTCTCTAAAAAGCAATGGAAAAAATATATGTGGGTGAGGATTAAAAAAAAAAGTCTCACCAGGATGCTGGGCTCTGCTACCCTCTTCTTACTCCCAGGATGACAGGGTGTTTCCCCACCACTAGCCATCTTCTCTTCCTTTATGGCAGCACCACATTCAGGTGCAGGGACCCTGATGTCCTTGTGTCATCCTTGTGCAGGGGCCATACTAATCCCTGTATTGTTCCATTTAGTGTATATGCTGTGAAAGCAAGCACGGATTTTATTTAATTCTTTTTTTAAAACATATTTTTTACTAATAGTATTTTCAGAGAGGAAGGGAGAGGGAGAGAGAGATAGAAACATCAATGATGAGAGAGGATCATTGATTGGGTGCCTCCTGCACGCCCCCAAACCCAGGCATGTGCCCTGACCAGAATCAAACCGTGATTTCTGGTTCATAGGTTGATGCTCAACCACGGAGCCACGCTGCCAGGCTTATTTAATTCAGTACATGCTTTTCGCCAGTGTAACAGGCCTGCATTCGTGGTAAATCAGCTGTCATGAGTGGTCAAATCTGAGTGAGGGTTTTACTTCAGGGAGGACGAAGCTCCTTCAATGTGTTGTTTCATCATCTTTGCTTGGCTGTGCTTAAAAAACGACCAAGAAAGAAATCACTTCTAAAAGCCCAAAGGCTCTTACCTTCTTGGTGTCCCATACTTGCTTAGAAAGGTTCTTGTCCGTCTCTGAGGTGGTCTCCTCCATTCCTGGGACTGTTAGTAGTAAGACTAGAGTGAGGTGTGGGGAGAAGGAGAGTCAGAAAGGGAATCTCTGCAGCTGCCTGGCGGTAGCAGGAGAGCACTTCCCTGACATACAGTCACAACCGTGATAGTAATGTGCCCCAATAGTGACTTCTGGGGATTGTACTAAAGTACAAAATGGGTTTCATTAAAACAAAACAAAAACATTAAAAAAAAGTCAGAGAACCTGTGACTTAAGCTCTAGAGCAGCGGTTCTCAACCTGTGGGTCGCGACCCCTTTGGCGGTCGAACGACCCTTTCACAGGGGTCGCCTAAGACCATCCTGCATATCAGATATTTACATTACGATTCATAACAGTAGCAACATTACAGTTATGAAGTAGCAATGAAAATAATTTTATGGTTGGGTCACAACATGAGGAACTGTATTTAAAGGGCCAGAAGGTTGAGAACCACTGCTCTAGAGCTAAGGACATGTATCATTCAGCCTCCCAATGGGATCGACTCAGCCTTGGAGATGGCGGGCTATAGAGAACAGCTGAGAACTTCTCTCTGGCTCCAGTGAATGGCCACTGCCCTGTGGACAGCTGACTCTCCCTCTTGGGCCATCATCACAGTGTCACATTGCTCAGTGTTAGATGGGTTGGGTGGAGCCACCATGGTAGCTGTGGACCCTTAAGTTAGTTGAAATGCCAGCCAACCCTAGAGGAGGGAAGGAGGGGAAGAGAGGAGGAAAGAAGGGAAGTTCTGAGAGACTGGATGGGCATCATTTGAAGCCATGAAACCAGTCGCACCTGAAGGCCCCTTCCTTGGACCTTTTGGTAGCAGTGAGACTAAACATTTTCTTGATGAGACTCAATTTCTTCATGCCTGTTGGAGGTTCAGGCCTGCATTCGTATTAAATCAGCTGGCATGAGTGGTCAAATCTGAGTGAGGGTTTTACTTCAGGGCGGATGAAGCTCCCTCAATGTGTTGAACAGAGCCAGATGGATCAACCCCGCCTTCCTGAAACCTGGAAGGGCCAGGCTCGGGGTGGGAGGGCAGCCAGGTAACATGTCTCGCTTCCCCACACCCCAAGGCCAATTGGACTCTGAGGTGCCGGGGGTTCCAGGCTTGCAGCTCTCTTCCACAGTCACAGAGCCCCACCTACCCCAAAAGCCCACATTTCTTGGGAGACCCACCATGGAGATGCCACCTCAGAATTGCCCCCCAGTACAGGAAACAGGAGGGAAGCTCCAGGCACCATGTCCTCATCACCTCTGAACATTCAGAATCCTGGCTTTTATTACGAAGACAATTCCTTCTGCAATCTCACCTTCACTGCCTGATGAGCTAGGGTCCCAGGAAGATGGAGTACAAAGAGAGCCCTTGCAAGGGGTAAAGTTCTGGTGGACAATCCTGTCAGTAGAATCTCCCTTGTGTTTACACACTTGCACAGTGAACTGCTAATAAAAAGCAATAAGCATTTGGGCTTTAACTGTACGTGATTAATTCTCTGGTTTCAGTGTCTTGGGGCAGATAGGCCCCTATGGGGTTGCCTGGGGCTGGCCTCACAGCATCACATTCCCCTCTCCGGATGATGCTGCCCCAGTTTTTAAGATGGCATGTGCCCTCCTGGAAGGTCCCAGTGATGCTGCCTATGCCTGGCTCCGAGGAGAGGTTGGGAGCCTGGGCACAGACCTGCCCAGCCGCAGCGCTATGGACATGGCCCAGTTGGAGAGGAGCCTCTGGGCAAGAGCTGGGAAAGAATCAGCCTTTTTCCCACCCACCAAGGTCAGGATGGGCCATATGGACCACGAGGGTTCTGAGCAGCACAGCCAGGATATGGCCCAGTGGAAAGCCTTGGGTCAAGCTCTACCCGAAACTCAACATCTAGCTGTGACCTGCTTACTCATGAGCTGATAACTGCCCCTTTTGCTTGAGTTTGCTGTCCCCTACATTTGAAAAAAACACGCAAGGTCCCCAGACTGTGTGGCCATGCTGAATCCATGAACAGAAGGCAATGGGTGTTTACAGGCACTGCTTTCTCTGCCCAGAAACCTCCTACACACGCTTCAAAATCCAACTCAAATAGTACCATCTCTGAAGTTTCCCTGAGCCCCTCCCCTTGTCCCACAGAACCCACTGAATCTTTCTTCACAGGTCTATCCACCCATGAGCTGTGACCTCTGCGAGCACAGGGACTACCATTGGACTTGCCTGACCTGAGGAAAGATGCCCATGTACCTGGCCCATACCTCTTTTCTGGTGTGCGTCCTGGGACCCCCCCATAAAGGGCTCTGGCTGGGTGGGTGTCATTGTGCTCTGGTGCAGGGCAGAGTCAGAATTGGTCCTAGGAGAGGAGAGAGACAGTGAGCACAGGCCCTAAGGATGATGGAGGACAGTCCTGGCTCCACTTGATCCAGGACACACCGGATGGGATAGAGGCGGGGCAGTTGTAGGTCTTTTTTTGTGAGCTGTTGCACCTGAGCATTATTCTCAAAAGAACCACAGGAGTGACCATGACCATGGTTTTCGTCTGCAAAGCCTGTTTGCAGAAGAGATGTCCCTCTGTCCTAACCTGCCTGTCTGTCCCCAGTCCCTCCCACCTCCCCACCCTCTGTGTACTTCTCTGCTTTAAGGAAAGGACAGAGCCTTCTTGCTGAAACCTTTTGGAGAGGGGGCCCAATGGTCCCACCGTGGCCAAGCCTTGTGGGTACAAGCCCCTAGCCCATCACTGGGTCCCCTTTGGTGACAAACACCAATGGGCAACCCCACCCTCTGGGACACTCAGTTGCAAACCAGGTGTGATGGGCAGGAAGAGGAGGCAGTGACATAAGGCTCAGAGAAGGCCCCAGAAAGAATGCATCCCCTGGGTGGGAAGGGGAGGGAATGGCGTGTGTGTATGTAGGTGAGGATCTTGTTCCAATAAGCCCAAATGCTGCCAAGAGCTCAATCTTCCCCCCCCGCCCCCAGGGTCAGGGCAATCTGCCCCCAGCTACAGGTGCCTGGAGGGAGGGGTTTCAGAACAGCCCTCAGCTGCCCAGGACACTATGGGTGGCCAAGGGTAGCTGAGTGGACATGCAAAGGTGCATCAGCACAGCTAGCAATTCGGGGATGAGAATAAGAGCTGCATGCACCCAATGGGGATGACCCAGACACTGAGAGTGACATGGAAGAAACTTAGTTAAGGGAGAAGAGCAGATTACAAAGGATCAGCCATTCTCTGATCCCAGGGCTAGCTGCGCAGTGAGGAACAAGTCAGGGTCCTAGCCGCCCCCTCACCCCAACTATGTGTCTTTGAGCAAGTAGTCTGACCTCTCTATGCTCACTTTCCTTATATCTACAATGGGGATGATAACAACACCTATTCCACAATGCTCTGTGTGTTTTATATCAGTTAATGTATTGATGGTTGAATAGGGCCTGATATATGGTAAGTACTTGGTGGGAATTTAATTATGCTATTGAGGTAAATATATTACATACTGTATGATACACATTATATTTTAAAGTTTCCTTACTTTTGGCCTTTTTTTTTTTTTTTTTTTTTTTTTTTTTACTGAAATTGCATATACACATACACATTTTCTGTATGTGGTAAAGTATGGGTAACAAACTTTACCATTTTAACCATTTTTTTCATAATTTAATTTTTTAAAATTTATTGATTTTTAGAGAGAGGCAGAAGGGGAGAAGAAAACATCAATTTGTTGTTCTACCCATCCATGCATTCACTGGTTGATTCTTGTATGTACCTTGACTGGTGATTGAACCTGCAACCTTGGCATATTGGGACAATGCTCTCACCAACTGAGCTACCCAGCCAGGGCCTTAACCATTTTTAAGTGTATACTTCTGTGGCATTAAATGGATTCACATTGGGTGCAGCCAACACCTAGTATTGTAGACTAGAGGCCCAGTGCACGAATTCATGCATGGGTAGGATCCCTCAGCCTGGCTGGTGATCGAGGCCTATCGGGGGGCCGACCAGCTCGGGGGAGGGACCCCGGGAGGTTGGCCGGCCAGCTCCCCAATTGGGGCCTATTAGGGGGCCGGCTGGCAGGGAGGAGGGACAATGGGAGGTTGGCTGGCTGGTCGGAGGGGCCGGCCGGCCAGGGGGAGGGGCCACAGGAGGTTGGCTGGCCACGGGAGGTTGGCTGTGGGAGCACACTGACCACCAGGGGACAGCTCCTACAATGAGTGCCTGTCCCCTGGTGGTCAGTGCGCATCATAGCGATTGGTCTACCAGTCATTCCGGTCGGTTGGTCCTAACAGTCACTTAGGCTTTTATATATATAGATATTTATACTTATTATTTTAGACCTTTCTAGATAATTGTATTATGGGTGCTTTTTCCTCCTTTGGGTACATTTATTTATTTTCCTAATCTTCTAGCAATAAATGTATAATACTCTTTATAATCATATTTTCATGACTGTTTAGCAATGTGGGAAACCACAACATTAAATGGGGGGAAAAAAGCAAGCTACAACACTGAATAACCTATCTAATAAAGAGGGAATATGCTAATTGACCCTCACACCATCGCAAAGATGGCAGTGCCCACAGCCAATAAGGAGGGAATATGTTAACTGACTGTCCCACCCTCAAAGATGGCAGCGCCCACAGCCACAAGATGGCAGCGCCCAGTTCCCTCAGCCCCGCCGGGGCAGCAGGCGTGTGGCAAAGCCAGACCTGCCCCAGGCAGGCCCAGTTGCTTTGTGCACCTGCCCGGCCCAAGGTGCAGGTAACCAGGGCCAGCTGAGGCTTGCGCTGCCAGCAGTAGCAGCAGCAGAGGTGTGATAGGGCGTTGCCTGCCCCTGAGGGCTCCTGTGAGAGGGGGCAGGCTGGGCTGAGGGACCCCCCTTCCTGTGCATAAATTTTCATGCACCAGGCCTCTAGTCCAATATAATTTCAGCTTTGCTTAAAAAAGAAAAAGAGCTGATTTCTAAAAACTCCTAGATGCTTTTTTATTTTTATTTTTTTAATATATATTTTATTGATTTTTACAGAAAGGAAGGGAGAGAAATAGAGAGTTAGAAACATGGATAAGAGAGAAACATTGATCAGCTGCCTCCTGCACACCCCCTCCTGGGGATGTGCCTGCAACCAAGGTACATACCCTTGACCGGAATCGAACCTGGGACCCTTCAGTCCGCAGGCCGACGCTCTATCCACTGAGCCAAACCGGTTAGGGCTCCTAGATGCTTCTTAGTTTTGTCATTTTAAAGTGACTACATATTGATTTTCCAAGCACAACCAGGATGAAAGTTTGGTTTTGTTTTCAACAAGAGGGCTAGGGGCTGGTTCTGGGTCACTGACCTTCTCCAGCTGGTATCCGAGGGTGGTGAGAGGTACACAGTACCATAGGGGCAGCTGTCCGCTTGAGTGTGAGTTAAGGGGTCGGTGCTGTTGACTTAAGCCCCACCCTAGCCCCAAAAACCTGGTGGCCAGGCTACTGGGAACCTGCAAACAGCTGGGCCTGCAGGGCGGGAAGGGGGGGCCCTTTCCTTCCTGGCTGCGAGTGGCCCCAGGGGTGACCCCATCCACCTAGCACTCAGCACTCACCCCCTGCGAGCACACGTGCGGGCTACACCCCTTCCAAGAGGGGCCCCAGCTGTGAAACTGGGGCTCACGGGGGCGGCAGGGAGTCTAGTTCAGATGACCCAGGTCATGACTCTTAATTCTGGGCTGATGGGCGGATCCTGGGGCCTGAGGGCTCTGTCTGGGGCCCAGCTGGTCAGGCTTCCCCTGCCGCGGAAATGAGAACCAGGAAAGAACAGGCTTCTCTGTTCTAGGAAGCAGAGGGTCCCAGAGCAGCACTCAGACTCTGGCCAAGAGGTGGTCAAGGTTGGGGGGAACTCCTGACGCTCTCTCTTCTTAGCTAAGGTACAGACAGGAATTTTGTGTTTTGAGAGGGGTACACCAACATGGCCTTAATGTGTAGTCACTCTGCTCACAGCCTTCCTGGGCCCCACTGCCCAGCTGGGCATCCAAGTGCAATGTGATTCAACATCACCTTCCCCAATTCTCACCTCAGGCTGCATGCTCCAGTGGCCACTTCTGCATCCTTGTTCCCTGTGTCCCTCAGTCCCCACCTAGCCAAAGGTTCTTCAGCTTGCCTCACTGTCTCCTCTGGGAAGTCCACTGGGGCGACCCCGATCCATCCCTAGAGCTGGTAGCTCCATTAGTTAGACAAATTCAGGGTCCTGCAGTCACCAACAGGGCCCTGCCCCCCTGTCCAAGTCCTCTGGGAAAAGGATATCTGCCGTCCATGTTTGTCCACTGACAGAGGCCGGCGGTGTGGGGAGCCGAGCCGGCCGCGCTCCCGGTATACTCTGTCCACCAGCCCATGGTGCCGGGTAGTCCGGCTGGTGTCCAGGCCTGAGGACTGGAAGGGTGTCTGGGGGAGGGGAGAGGGAGAGAAGGAGATGGGGGGAAAAATGAGAGAAACCCAAAACGGTTATCAGCTGTAGCCTGTCCTCAGGATCTGACCTCATGGCCTCCCACTCCTGAGACAACCTTGGCCACCATGAGGCAACCCAGACCAATTTCCTCCTTTGACCAGCTCCCGGCCTCCTAGGACTATGGGTTGGGGGCAAGTTGAGGACCACGGGCGCCGAGGTGGCAGGCGTGCAGTGCGGCAGGCATGCACAGCCAGGCAGAATGACACAAGCTCGGGGCCAGTGCTGGCCAGGGTGCCAGGGGTGCAGATGGCCTGAGCAGTCCCCAACTCCCAACCCCCACCCTCAGCCTCACCAGGTGCAGACAGGCCTCCGCCTTCTCTCTCGGGCCTGGCTGGCCTCCTTTTCCCACCTACGTCATCCCTGGAGAGGCTGCCAAGAGACAGCCCAAGGCTCTAGCTGAGGATGTGAAGGGCCACCTGGCCAAGTGCTGGCTCCCTGGAGGCTCCTTGTTGAGCCTGGGGTCAGCCTCAACTGAAAGCAGCCCCCAGCGCTCTCCACCACATCCTGGCAACACCATTAGCCAAGTGTAGGCACTTTTTGGAGCCCTAGCCCATGGCTTGGCAGGATAGGGCTTCTTCCAGCACCTGGGGCTGGCATGAGGTCCCCGGCCAGGCCCTACTCCCTCTCCCAGCTCCATGCCCCTGGGGCCCCCAGGAGCCTGCTCTCTGCCATCCCTAGCACTGTGGGGCTTCTTGCCATCTGACTGTGGTAAGACTGGCAACTTTAGCCAGCTCTGGACACAGCCTGTCCCCCTCCCCGGCCATCTGGTCCTTGGGCCTTCCTCTCTTCTCTGGGAAGTGGGGCAAAAAGTGGCTGAAATCCTGCTCTTCCCCATGTATCTAAACACCTCACTTGGCATTCAGGGCTGACTGCTCTCCAGTGTCCAGGACCCCTCTCTCTCTCTGACCCAGCACAGACCTGCCAGCTTGGGAGATAGCAGGTACCCACTGTAGTACTGGCCACGACTTGGGCTCAGCTGCAGAGGGAGGGAGCCTCACCCTCCAGCAGGGACACCAGAGGGCAGAGGCCATTCATCTCCTCTCAGAGATGCCTGGGGAGCAGAGGGGAAACTGAGATTGCTGAAGCATAGCCAGAGGCAGAGAGAAGCTCGGCCCGGCCGCAGCCCAGCTCACCAGGCCGAGTCTAGAATCTGTGCACACCTGTGTGCATGTGTCATGGGAACAAACATGCAGCATTGGTGCACATGCTTGAATTCTTGGGTGGGATCTCTCCATGTGACCACACGAATTTCCCCAGACACGGGGGTGGGGGGTGGGGGTGCAGAGCAAATCAGTTTCCATTTGTCAGACAGGACACCTCCCACCAGGCCAGGAGGGCAGCCACACTGGGGACACCAATAGCCTCAGCCCAGGGGCTCATTTACCAGAAAGACAGGAGCCGCTGCCAGGGCATCCCCCAGAAATCCGCTGGGCTAGAATGCAAAGAACCAGATTCTGAGATGCTCCAGCCTCACCCTCAGCCCTAGGACCCAGCAGGCCCTGCACCCTTAGCTCTGCGGCCACGGTGACCCAGGCAGGGCCAGCTTGGGTGCCCAGAAAGATGCTCCCCTCCAGGGAGGAGGGACAGGAAGACAGAGGAAGGGGGAGAGCCAGGGAGGAGGAAATACCCTGACAAAGAGGTCAGGTTTTGGTCAGCTAGACAGCCCTATGCATCTGTTCTCATGAGGCTGTTCAAGGAGGCCATACCCCAGGGGCCCAGAGGTGAACAGGGCAGACCCAGAGTCAGTCTGGGGGACCCTGGCCAGTGGCCTACTGCATCCTGGCAGCATTATCATGGGAGGAGTAGGAGTTGGTGGATTACTCAGGTGGGAGCTGAGCTCCCTGAGGACCAGCCCAAGTTCCACCTGGCCTATCAGCATGTGGACAGATGTGATTGTTTCTGGGGCCCTGTCTCAGCAATGGGATGAAAGTGTGACAGTCCATGGACCTGTTCCTGCAGAGCAGACACCATGCTGGAGTGGCCTGGCTCTCAGCCCTGGCTCCCTGGCCCACCTTGCTTCCACTTCCACCTGTAGACTAGGGTCAGGCATGGCCCCAGGGAAGAGGCTGGCACTGCGCCCAGGTGGTGAGTTTTATCTCTCGCTATTTATGATAAGGATGTGCATGGCGGCCTAGTGGCCTGCGGGAGCCATGCTGTATAGGTCTCTGCCAAGAAACATTTGTAGACAAGTGGGGTCAGGTCTCAGGGCCTCCTTCTGAGAACCTCTGGGCTTGAGGATTAGTGAGGCTGATGGAGCCAAGCCCCAGAGGCCCTAAGCGGTTCCCGCTGCTGCACAGACGGCCAACAGGTGTAGTGGCTGCCGAAACGCTCGCAGCCAGACTGAGGCCTTGCTGCAGGGTCTGCTGATGCTGACAGGGGACTGGCCAGGGGGGATCTGGGCAAGGTCTGGCCAGGCCATCCCAAGGACAGAAAAGGAGTAGGAGGGTGTGGGGTGGGAGGGCTGCAGCAATAGTTTGCTGACCCTGGCTGTCCAAAGCAGCCATCACACATACAAATTTGCCCAGAGTGGATGTGCCCCAGGTGGGAGCCCAGGGCAAGCTCCCACAGGAAGGCAGTGTGGGAAGAGCATGTGGGGGATTGCTCACCTGGAACGGTAAATCCACAGTGCCGCTCCCAATCTGGTTCACATTGGGCAGGGACCCGCCATAGTACTGGCCACGGCTTGGGCCCAGCTGCAGGTACTGGGACTTTTGGAGCTGGAGCTGTAAGAGAAACCGGCAGCTGCAGCGAGGGCTGGGGGGCCATCCTCAGCACACCTTGCCTGGAAAGGACCCATGTGGTGGGGTCAGTAGCACCAATCACAGAGGGTGTAGGACCCCATGACTCAGATTCTCAAAGAAGCCAAGTGTCTCTCCACCCAAAAAAGGCAGAATCAGAAACCCAAGGTGCCACAAGAGGTCCTCCCCAGGACTGTGTGAACCTCAGGGAGCTTTCTTTGCTGGCTGACACGGCAGGTTTGTGAATGAGTGAGAGTATAGAGCAGGCCTGGAGCCTAGAGCCTGAGGAGGAGGCCTCTCACCCACCCGGGGGAGCCATTTCTCATCGTGGCCAAAGGCTTTGTTACTGGGCACAGGCCAGATGCTGCAAAATGATGCCTGGACAGACACAAGAGAAATCTTCTTTCCAATGGCCTGGATCAGAGGAGTCAGCTCAGAAGTGTAGCACTGACTTTCAAAGTGCAAGATGTGGCTCCTCCGGCAGCACACAAGACAAGCAGATCTGCCTGAGTTCAAGGGTCCTGCCCAAGGCCCCAGGCTCCTTCTGCCTGTCCGTCCCTCTGCCTCACCAGGACTGGGCCCAGTGGTTGGCTCTCATCTGGGCTGGCGGAATTCCTGCAGTCCTCTGCCCATCACTCAATTGGGGACTTTTCCCACTTCAGAACCAGAAGCCCGAGGTTCCCTGACCAGCAATGGCTGCCTCGGACCTGGACAGGCAATCGCTTCTCTCTCAAGCAGCTGATTCCACTTTTTGGGAACAAGATCAGATGCCCTGGCCCAGGCAGCACCACCTATAGCCCATCACACTGCTGTGGGAGGCAGGTATCATGAACAAGGGGTGGCTGGCTGGGCAGGAAGGGGTGGTGTCGCTCTCCCAGCTGGGGCGGTTGCTAGGGTCAACTCTGTGTACACAACAAGGCCACTTGTGGTCCCTCACAAATAGCTCCTAGTGGCTCCACCAGCTGGCCGCCCACACCACCCGCTCCCCAACTAGTACCCAGCTTCCTGGCTGGGGGGGGCGGGGGGGGTTAGACATGAGGGAAAGTGAAGCCTGGAAACTGGCCACCCACTCAGCAGAGCACCTAACTCAGGTAAACAGCTGTTTCCTGCAAGCTGTGTGGAACTGGGAGAGAGGCTGACTTTGCTCTATTCCTACCCAGGTGGTTTTCAAGTCTGTGGGCCCAGCCCAGGGTCTGTCTTTGACATGAATACCCCACTGTGTCCCTCCCCACAGTTATGAGGAACAACACAGGCTAGGGCCCCCACTCATGCCTTGGCACAGGTAACCTCAGACCCGAGACCCACTCCATTCCCTCCTTGTGTTTGAGCCCTGCTTCCACCTCTTAAGAACCACCTCTGGGGCCACAGCCCCCTTCTGGCCCTCATTTACCCCCACCAGTTTCCTCATCTCAGCCCTGGGCCTCTTTGTTCCCCTTACCCTCTCAGCACATGCAAAATGTACTTCTCACCTGTCCCTGCCCAATACCCACTCTCCTGTAGAGAGCCCTGTGTAAACGGTGACTTCTCCAGCCTCTCTCAGTCCCACCTTGCTGAGAGAACCCCTACAGGTCTGTCAACTTCTGTCAGTGCCTACACCATGCTGGTCACAACTCCCCCAGCACAGGCAGCAGCATCCATTGGGCTGGGTAAAGTGGAGACCACAAGGGCATGGAGACCACAAGGCCAGTGGCTCTGGGAAGATGTGGTGTGACGGATGCAGCCACTTCTTTAGGGCCCTCCCCAGGCCTCAGTACCCCCACCCCTGCGCCAACAGGCTGCAGTGACACCCACACCTGTCAGCCTCTCCCAGGCTTCACTCTCTAGACAAGCCAGCCTTGATCAGGCTAAATGGTGGGCCTTCTAATGAGATTAAGGGGAGTCGGTGTGCTGAAGGCTGAGCTCTGTCCTGCAAAGCCAGCGAGAAGTCGTGTGCTCTGGACAGGCCTGTTTGCCCCTCTCACCACAAAGGCTTCACAGTCTGGCCCTTTGCTTTCCCCGACCACCAGGCTCCACAACTGAGATGGCTGCTGCTGTGAGGCCTTTGCATTGGTGCTACCACCTCTATGAGGCTCTTCCCACTGGGCTAGCCCAACACTGAGCACCTCGCCCCCACAGGGTTACCTCCTCCACAAAACTACCTGACTGAGGTCTGTCTGATCCCATCAGATTGTCGGCCCCATAAGGACTCTGGCACAATGGAAGAGTTCAGCACACATGGGGAACAAGTAAAAATAAGGTGACATATGAGGACAGGAACAAGAGTTGGATACACTCAGGATCCCAGGCAGGAACCACATTTCTCCTGTGCCCACATGGGACCCTTAGCCCCAACCTCCAGGAAACTGAGGTTCAAGAAAGAAGAGATGGCTGTTCGAGTGCAGAGGCAGCATGTGCCCCAGTCTGGGGCCCAATCTGAGAACCACCCATGAGAGGAAAGCAAAGAGCACACATTGTCCCCTTGCCAGCTCAGGCACATGATGCTTCTGGGACCGAGCACTGACTGGGACCCAGGGGGATTTGCACACCCTGGCTCAAGCCACCTTTGGGAGTGTCCCTGGGAGGGAAAGACCGGAGCTTCACCAGGTTCTCCAAGTGTTCCAGCAGCCATGGGGACACATGCAGAGAGCCCCCAAGAACTCCTAATAGGATCTAATTTTGATTCTTATGGAGCCACGTGAGTTTTCTGGGGCCACCATTCTCTGACAGGTGTATTCACCCAGTTTGTCTGGCTGCATTCCTCCAGGTTCCTTCCCAGGTTCAGCTTGGGCAGCAGGTAGTGAGTTCCAGATGGTAGACAGCCCCTCCTGGGCTCCATTCCCCACACTGGGCCCTCCCCCTATACTGCTCAGTTGAGGTGACATGTGCATGGCTATGAATATCTCACTGAGGCCATGGAGGACAGCACCAAACACCCTGGGCCTAGTTATTCCAGGGAGAGGAGGACTGAGGGTCACCAGCTCTGACTTGTGACTCCTGAGTCTCCATCCTGTGGCTGCAAGAGATAGCAGTGACCACTCAGGCCACGTGTCCATGGGTCATGCTATCTCTCCCCAGGTCTCCCCTTACCCACTATGTAAAGGATTGGAAACCTGGGCTCTGAGGGAGATGGCTGTACTAGCAGGTGCCCCAAAAGGAAGGCCCAAAATAGCTTTTCTTTTTTTCACTAATCCTCATCGGAGGATATGTTTCTATTGATTTTAGAGAAAGAGAGAAAGGGAGAGAGAGAGAGAGAAACATCAATGTCAAAGAGAAGCATCAATCAGCTGCTTCCCATATGTGCCCGACCAAGGATTGAACCTGAAACCTAGGTATGTGCCCTGACTGGGGAATTGAACCCACAACCTTTTGGTGTAGGGCAGTGGTCGGCAAACTGCGGCTTGCGAGCCACATGCAGCTCTTTGGCCCCTTGAGTGTGGCTCTTCCACAAAATACCGACTTCTGCGCATGGGCCACAAAGTTTCAATCGCACTGTACGCGCGCCCGCACGTGGGATTTTGTGGAAGAGTCACACTCAAGGGGCCAAAGAGCCGCATGTGGCTCGCGAGCCGGTTTGCTGACCACTGGTGTAGGGGATGACGCTCCAACCAACTGAGCAACCTGGCCAGGGCTTTTCGCTCTTTTTTAAACTTTTTTTTTTTATCAAAACAAAGTTCCCATAACATATAACAAACCATTTTAACATATACAATTCAATGACATCTAGTACATTCACAATGTTATGCAACCATCACCTCTTTCTAGTTCCAGAACATTTCTGTCAACCCAAAGGGAAACTGCATCCCCATTAGCAGTCACTCCCCATCTTCCTCCCCCTCAACAACCACTAAGCCACTTTCTGTCTCTATGGATTTTCCTGTTTTGCACCTTTCATACAGATGGAATCACACATTATGTGGCCTTTTGTGTCTGACTTCCTTCACTCAACACAATATTTTCTAGGTTTATCTCCATGTTGTAGCATGTGTCAGTGCTTCACTCCTTTTCATGGCTGAATAAAGTTCCACTGTGTGGATGAACCACATTGTGTTTATCCTACATCTACTGAGGGACTCTTGAGCTGTTTCTACCTTTTGGCAACTGTGAATATGGTGCTCCTGTGGACATAGGTATACAAGTATCTGTTTGAGTCCCTGTTCAAATCTCTAGGTATATATCCCTAGGAGTGGAATGGCTAGGTCATATGGTAACTCTGCCATTCTGTTTTCCATAGTGGCTGTACCATTTTACATTCCCACCAATACTACATAAGGGTTCCAATTTCTCCACACTCTTGCCTATACTTGTCGGTTTCTGTTGTTTTAACAGTAGTCATCCTGATGGGTATGACATCTCATTGTGGGTTTGGTTTGCATTTCCCTGGTGACTAGTAATGTTGAGCTCCTTTTCATGGCTTGTTGGTCATTTGTCTAACATCTTTGGAGAAATGTTTGTCAAGTCCTTTGCCCATTTTAAAATTGGGTTTCTCTTTTTTCGTGTTGAGTCATAAGAGTTCTTTATATTTCTGAATATTAATCCCTTATCAGCTATATGGTTTATAAATATTTTCTCCCATTCTGTGAGTTCTTTTTACTTTCTTAATAGTCTCTGGATGCACAAAAGTTTTAAATGTTGATAGGGTCCAATTAACCTATTTTTCTTTTGTTGCTTGTGCTTTAGTGTCATATCCAAAAAGCTATTGCCAAATCCAAGGCCAGGAAGTTACACCTATGCTTCCTTCTATATTTGCTCCACTTTGAGACTTTGTGTTAATTCTTATTAACATTGTTGCCCTGGTCCTACATCACAGCCTACCCTCATGCCAACCAAGGGCTCCATGGTGAAGAGCCCAGCCAACCCCCAGAAGCATGCCAGGGACATTGGAGTTTTGAATCACACATCTGCTTAGTGAGGGAGGGAATAATGAATGAATGAGGGAATGAATGAAAGCATCACAGGCTTGTGGCCCAGCAAGGATTCCAGGCTGAGTCACCGTCCCCCCTTCACCCCCCAAGCTGAGTGAGATACTCCCCAGCTGCCTCCTTATTCGTTCCCAAAGTGTAAATACAGAACCAGATACACAAACACCGAGTGAGTCTCGGAATGCCTTTAATCAGGCTCTGTGGTTGCTGCCAAGTTCCTGGCCCCGGCTGAATCAGAGGGTCCACTGGGAGCACGTTTGTTTCCCTGTTGGTGCAGTTGTTGAGCACAGACCTTCCGGCTGGGATGTGTGAAGGGTCCCTCGAGGTCTGAGCTCAGCACAGCTGGATCATGTGGGCCTCTCTCCCAGAGAATGAGACCCCAGACCTGCCAGCCAGCTGGGAGCCCACCCTGAATGAGGCC